ATCTTTCAAAAAGATAAATATAAAGAAAACATCTCAGTTTCTAAAGAGTTTAGCTAAGGACTTTGATAGCTAAGTAATTTAAATCTCTGTATAAACATATTAAAAATGTAGTATCATTGTATGTGTGTATAATATATTCATACGGATAAGTACATATAGATATGTTATAAATGAGACAAAAAGATTATGTTGCATAATTTCTATTCTGAAACATGGTCCTAAAATAAAGGATTAAGAATTATAAGGGGTAATGTTTGTTTAGAACAGCTTTTCTAATTCTTGAGGGGGAAGGGGGAAAATAGCAAATTTGAAGGACCTCTATTTCTTATAGATTGTATAATTTATAGAATATATTGACATATAGAAATGTATATAGATATATAGAAATTCATAATGCTGTAACAACACTGGTTTTTATATTCATAGATGTAAGTATGTGATAACGAAGGTAGACGTGAAGTGGGCTATTATTCTTTTGTATGCTTAAAATGTTTTAGTGAGTCTAGATCTTCTCAAGGTCCTTTAAATAAAGAGCTTGTGGGGTGCCTCAGTCTGTTAAAGTGTCTGCCTTAGGCTCGGGTCATGATCTCCAGGTCCTGGGATTGAGACCCCCTTCCAGCTTCCTGCTCAGCAGGGAGTCTGCTTTTCCCTCTCTGCCCCTTCCCCCCATTCATGCTCTCTCTCTCTCAAATAAATAAATGTATAATATAAATAAATAAATAAATAAATAAATAAATAAATACAAAGATTGTGTGTACTTCTCAGCCATCTTCTTAAAAATGTAGATTTATACTGGACACTCATGGATATTTAAAAATTGCTTTCTCGGTATGTTTGAGGGGCACATTTGAACTAATTATATGAGTCTGACAATACATTTTAATAAAATTTAATCTTCAGTATTATGCATATTGAACTCCATCTAAATCAACCATAAGTTTTTTCTCTTAGATAATTCCTCAACTTCCATGAAACATTTCTAGTCTCCTTTTTTAGCATTCTCAGTCAGTATTTTTTCCTATTACCTGTGCTGAATTAACTAAAATGAAGATGTACTGTTTCTTAATGCTTTTACTGTTGCCTCCGTTTAGAATGCTATGTCCTCAACTTTTTCACTACTGTCTTCACTTGTTGAAATTCTGCTTCTCCCACAGCATTGTGGTTACAGTTAACAATACTATATTGTATACTTCAAAACTGCTAAGAAACCACATCTTAAATGTTCTCACCACAAAAAGGAAATGTTAAATTTGGGACGCGATGGAAGTATTAGTTAATTCTACAGTGGTAATCATATTGCAATATATAATTATAAATATATATATATTTATGTATCAAATCAACAGAATTGTAAACATAAGACTTACGCAATATTATATATCAATGACATCTCAATTTTTAAAAATTTACTTCTCCTAAAACAAAGAGTTTCATGTTTTCTGAAGCATGATTTGATTCCCTTAATATAGCCTTTCAGTTAAATTATGTTATCACATAACATAATTTTATTATGACATTTCCCACATTCTTCCCAATTTTATATCCTTGAGGCAAGAGCTAGTTTTTACATCTTTGTACCTTTTCTGTTGTATACTTTTGATATATAGATAATTACAACTTAGTAAAAGTTGTAATAACAAAAATAAATATGAAGGGACACATAACTAAGTGGCAGTATGTTAAGGATCCTTGACCGCTTTACAAATTAAGTGATTTGTCAGGGTCAATATGAGAAGACACTTGAATTCAACAACTCGCTAAAAGTATAGCAACAAATCATTGAAGTTAGAGATTTTATTTTAAAATATTCTAAGAAGATTGGTATCACATTCTGATTTTTAGTGATCTTAGAAAGTTTCCTAGAGTTAATATACAAATCCCAATAGGTAGTTTTTGGGGAGTTTAATAAAATTAAAAATACAGACAAAAAATGCTTTCCGACAATGAATAGATGTAGCACAGAGGAAAAAAAATATTTTAAAAGTGAAAGAATTTGTTACAAAAGTGCCTTTGAAATGCTTATTCTGAGAAGCAGCTTTCATATTTTGGACAGATAAAAGTATCATTAATTTGTTTTCCATTCAGTATTACCAATCAGCAGTATAGTCACAGATCTTAGAATTATTTGTCAGGTAAAGTAGAAAAATGTAGCTAGAATTATTCTTAAGATGAAGTCTTATTAAGAAATAGAAGCTGCATTTAGAAACACACTTGATTGTACAGATCTAAGATAGTACTGGCTGGTTATTGAATATTAGTGTCATGTGAATCACTATTGTTTCACTGATTTTACAGACAAAATCATTGTCTTCTGTCACTTATCTCAAAATCTTAGTTAAAAATTGATTCAGAGTGTGAAGATAAAGGAAGTTACATATAAACTGATAGGATTGGTTTAAACTAAATTTTTTACTTGTTCTGCGCAAGTAAGAAAGCTGCGTAGAGGTTAATCTACTGGCTTTGTTAAGAACTGGGAGTATGATAAGTAGCTTGAAAATAAAGATTTTCTTAATATAACAAGTCCTTCATAGGTTTGAGCTTTATATTCTGAATGGTAAAATAGGATTTAAACAAAACTTTCCACATTTTAATAAATATAATTTTTTTCTCAAATTTTAACTATTAGACAAAAATATGTAAAACAAAGTATTATATTCTAGACAATAATCAATTATTTGTAACTTTAAGGTTGAATCCGATAACAGTGGAAGTTTAAGTAGCAAACTTTTGTATCTTAGTGTTAATATATTGAAATTGCATTTTCATTAAATTGGGTCAAATGCAAAATAGCTTTCTTTTTCTCTCTATGATCTTAAATAACAATTTTTTCACCCAGTTGTTATGAAATTATATGGAGAGTCATAATGCAGACGAGTTCTACAGAAACTTTTACTGTTAGTGTCCAGAAAGTTTTTCAGTAGTGTTACTTATATTTTAAAGATAACTGCAATCAGAATAATAGGTAAAAACTTTGAGCTTTTCTAAATAGAACAAAAATTACTAATGTTTGAGTATTTATTGCCTTTCCCTTTTCCAGGTCCATTAAAAGGATTCCACTTAGTTTCTTTCCTTCCCTTGACTTCTAAAAGGCTTTTATTTAGGTCACAAGCAATTTGGGGATTCTGTTAGGCCAGATGAGAAGGAAAGAAAGTGAGAGAGTAATTTTTGTGGGAGTTTTATGGAGAGGGAATCCGGAGAGACTGGGGTGTGAGGGGAAGGTATGAAGAAGAAAAGAATTTTTAAAAGTATTGTTCAAGAAATGACAATAAAGAACTTATTTTGAAATTAGTTTTCAATTGCCATCAGGTTCCTCTGGCAACATCACAGCTTGAGATGAGAAAATATGGGTCAAAGATTTAGGGACACCTGGGCGGCTCAGTCGTTAAGCCTCTGCTTTGGGCTCAGGTCAGCTCAGGTCATGATCTCAGGGTCCTGGGATTGAGCCCCACGTGGGCTTCCTGCTCTGCGGGAAGCCTGCTTCTCCCTCTCCCACTCCCCCTGCTTGTGTTCCCTCTCTTGCTGTGTCTTTCTCTGTCAAAAAATAAACTCTTAAAAAAAAAGATTTAATAAGACTGGCAATTGTCAACAGTTTTATATCAACAATTGAGAGGGAGTGTGGGAGCAGGAGAACACAATTTATCTGGAAATGGAAGATATTGCCACAAGATAATATTCATTGTTGTTTTTAATTTTTGTTGATCAAGATTTACTCTTTTATTCTGTTAAGGAACTAGTTATGTAGCTGATTTATGATCTACCACTTTTTATCATATGAATAACAATTACATTTATTTTTTTTTCCTCTGGGGCATTCAATTTTATGTTGGCTTGGGGTAAGAGAACATAGGAAGGAGAAATAGAGTAAAAGTTGGTTCAGTATTTTTTTCCTATCTATGAAACAAACTTGGCAGATCTATATTTTTTCTATTTTGACCAATCATCCATCTTATTCTACTCTATACTATTAGCCAAAGTTTCTCTTTTAGTTTCTCATTTTCTTTAACTGGAAAGGCAGGATACAGTCTTTTAGGTAACCAGATGTCAGATCAGTTCTTCAAGATTTTAATGATAACAATCAACATGGCAATTGTTTTTTTTTCTCTTTTAGTTTTATCTATTGTTTTAATACTCAAAATTAAATTGACCAAGACACAATGGGCAGAAAGATTCCTAGAATAATCCTTGACATAATAACTTGTAAGAGAATGGTCTTCAATATTATTTGTATATATAGTATAACTATCACATGCTGTTTCTATATATAAATATCTAAAACAAAAGGAAAATGGAAGAGTAATTTTTATAGACTGTCACTGATAACTCACAGATTTTTTTAAAGAAATGTTCTTTTTTTAATTTGACTGGATTCTTTCATTAGCAACATTTGTGACTTCATATAGTTTAAAACGCCTGACATTAGAGCAGAATTGGTTGTTCATGTAGGAAAAATGGTCTCTTGGGTCTACCATGTAAGGCCAATCTTTTATAGATTAGAAAGATAGATTATCAGTGTTTTTGTTTACATTCTGTGAAAGCAAAAATTGGAAAAGTAAATTGAAAATTTAGAGGTGGTAAGGACTAATTCAGTTTTGCTTTTTTTTTTTATTGGTAAAATGACTTTGTAAATGGCATTAACTATTGTTAACACTCAAACTATTTCATGAAATAGATTTCATGAAATCTCAGTAATTAGGTAGTTGAGTTCAGAAATACATACACAGAGGTCCTTGGGTGGCTCAGTTGGTTAAGCGTCTGACTTCAGCTGAGGTCATGATCTCAGGGTCCTGGGATCAAGCCTGCATTGGGCTCTCTGCTCAGCGGGGAGTCTTCTTCACCCTCTCACTCTCCCTCTGTGCGCACTCTCTCTCTCTCCCTATTTCTGTCTCAAATAAATAAATAAAAATCTTATTAAAAAAGAAAAAAATATATACACAACTGATGGCCTTGCAACCTGGAAAAATACATTAGTTGGAAACTACCTGTGCATTGTTTTCTTGCAGGGAATAAATCACAAGACAGTGGCATAGCAGAGATGGAAGAACTTCCTGTACCACATAACATTAAAATAAGCAACATTACATGTGACTCATTCAAGATTTCATGGGAAATGGATTCAAAGTCAAAGGACCGTATTACACACTATTTCATTGACCTCAATAAGAAAGAGAACAAGAACTCCAATAAATTTAAACACAAGGTAAAATCTTAACACATACTTCTGTTCATTTGCATCTTAAAATCTAAGTCTGAGGACATTTTAAAAGCAGGAATAATGTTCTATTAATTACTTAAGTGATGTATTTGATATTGGGAAGAATAAAAATTACATGTCATTTCAAAACCCTATCCCTTTAAGAAATTTTGTAAGAAAATGAAATGCCAAGTATACTATTAAAATACAATTTTTCCCATAAGAGGTAAAATCATGACTGTCATATAGACATAAAAATGAACATGTGTTAAAAGATTTAACTCATTAATGAGGTAACTGATGAGGTGTTACAACCAGTTCAAGGGATAATCCAAAGAATAGACACAAGCATAGATTAGTATATTGAAATAAATGTATAACTACAGGTAAAACTGATTTGGGGTCAGGAAGGAGAAAGGGACAGAAGGGATGGATGGACAAAATTCATTTGCATGTATTTAGACAAGAATAACTGTTATCAGTTATCTACAGATTACACTGTTATAAAATAACTCCCACAGAATCAAAAGAAAATAGCCAGAAGAATATGCTATAGGCAGGGTATAGTTTTTCATTAAGGCATACATTTTTCCCTATAACTGCTGAGAGAGGAATGTGATATAGCTTATAAACTTTAGGGTATTTGTAAAATACTTCAGGGCTGAAAACTGCTTTATGTAGTCAATTTTATTTTATGATTTGAGGATGAAAATTAACCTTTATATGTCTTAGACCTGTTTACACCTCTTTGGTATTTATTCTTATAACAGTCTACTTATCACATATCTTTGCTGATACATATGTCTCTACGTACACATCAGAGATAGCATAGAGAGGATAATAGTTATTAAGTATTCTTTCTTATGTTTCAGTATTTTCACTGATGAAAACTGGTCTTTTTTTTATATTGATACTAAATTTAACTTGGCAAATCTTTTGGAAGAGCTGCCTTATCCTTTCTGGAAATTATGTCTTTTACCAAATGCGCAGTTATACACACTAATGATAAGTAAGGATTATATGTATATGTGTGAGAGAACAAGGTTGATAAGTCATTATTCTAACCATGTTCTAATTTTGATTATGCTTTCTAGTTATGGATATTTTCTTTGCTGACATTTGCCTTCTTGAAGTAGTTTTGAAATATTTCCTTAAAATAGCTTTGAAATACTTAATGTTATGTGATGATTAGGTCAAGATTTGACCCCCTTTTCTTCATTCCACACTTAGAAAACCATGTCTTGGAAATATAGTGAATATTCAACTAGCAAGTTTAATAACCTTATTAATCATTGTTTAGAAATACCTAAACATTTCTGTGACACATAAGCTCCATACTTGAATACAACTGAAGCAGATACTACCTCTTTTGTAAATAAAACTGATTCATTTATCTTAAAATAGTTATTTTTAAAATGTTTTCTGCCTTCACATATAAAATATTTAGTAATGGGCTACTCTGGTAAAATTAATGGATAGTATAAATTAAACAAATATATTTTAAAATACAAAATCATTGAATTTGTTTGTCATGTTTCTGGGTTTTGGGAGGTTTTGTTTTGTTTTATAATTTAATATTAGAATATTGCACTTTAAGGAACATATATAAGGAGAGTACAGAGAAGAACAATAATCAAGAAAACAGAAATCTAAATACATTTTATGTCATTAACTAGCTGTATGACCTTGGGCATGTCTTTTGATCAAGTTGGGCCTTATTTTTTTTACATCTGGAGAATAGAGATTTGACTAGAATAATTGTTAAATATCTTTAAAAAGGAAAATTCTATGATTAGCCAGGAATTTAAGTTCCTCCACATTGTTTAAAATTGATTCAGGTTCTACTGCTAAATTATTTCTTCCCTCCCTGCCTGCCCTCTACCCTTCCTTCTTTCCTGTTTTTCTTTCTTTTTGTCTTAGGATGTTCCAACGAAATTGGTGGCAAAAGCTGTTCCTTTGCCCATGACTGTCCGTGGACACTGGTTTTTGAGCCCGAGAACTGAATATACAGTAGCAGTGCAGACTGCCTCAAAACAGGTTGACGGTGATTATGTTGTGTCTGAATGGAGTGAAATTATAGAATTCTGCACAGCAGGTAAGAGAACTAGATACAAATCCAGAAAAATATTTAGTAGTTCCTTAAAAGCTAATTACAGAAAAATATTTTTTAATCATAAGGTGATATGAATTGCATTGGGTTATTTTTACATCGACAGTAGCATTGTGTACTAGAACAAGCTACGCTGTATTAGTTGGAGGGAGCTTAGATTCTCAGTAAAAGCTGAGTAATGGCATTAAATTAGTTCTTTGCTGCATAGTTTGATTTTTTAAAGTAAAAGCTTTGCAAATAAAAATTGGTTTAGTTTGAAAATATGCTCAAACATATTTTGAGCTTCGTTTTGAGAGAGAGCTTTTTTTTTTCTTTAAATTTTCACAGATATTGATGGCACCTGGGTGGCTCAGTTGGCTAAGTGGCTGCCTTTGGCTCAAGTCATGATCCCAAGAATCTGGGATCAAGCCCTGTGTCTCTGGTTCCCTGTTCAGCAGGGAGCCTGCTTCTCCCTCTTCCTCTGCCTGCCACTCCCCCTGCTTGCACTCTCTCTCTGTCAAATAAATAAAATAAATAGAATCTTTAAAAAAAAATGTTCACAGATATTGAAACAAGTCAGGAACATCTTTCTGTAACTTAGGGGAATGGATGCAGATCTTAATGACTGTACATAGCAGAAATGTTATTGGATTTTTCACCTGAGTGCTGAAATCTGTATCTAAACTAGTGTCGTGTGTGTGTGTGTGTGTGTGTGTGTGTGTGTGTGTGTGTGTCTTTGCTTCATTAGAAAGTACCTCATAGCCATTTGACATTGAGATACCTGATGTGGAGAGCCCCATCCCCTTTGATTTTGAACTATACTTTAATATTCCATTAAATTGGAAATGTTACCATTTATCTCGTTCATTTATCTGTTTATTCATTCATTTAAGAAACAAATATTTGGTGAGCTCTTAAATAGGTGTTGAACTCATACAAAGATATCTTTACCTGATTACATCTGTCATCCTCTCCTTGTCTCTTAGAATGGGGCTTTATTTCCTCTTTGTATAGGTGATTGTTTCCTCTAAAAAATTGTAGAGAAAGGCTGTGTTTTTCAACATAAAGGAGCTTGAAGAAAGTCTTAAAAACAATTTGCCTCAACTATTGTAAGTTGCTTAGCAAATTTTCCCAGCTGAGGCATCCTTCATATAAACCGGCCTTTTTTTTTCTCCCCATAATGTCACACCTGCATTATTTTAGACTCAGTACATACTTAGCAACTGCTTTATCTCACTAGCTTGTGTTGTTTCTTAATCTCAAATTCAGTGTAAAACTTTTCCTATGGATATGTTAAATGGATGAAATTTTAATTCTATGTTATTTTGATTTTATCTTCAAACCTTTTTATATATGGGTAAGTTGCTAAGGATTATAACATCCTTGATTGTTAAGGATTTCAGTCTTTGAGAGCAAGGAAATAATATCTCTCTGGTACCATATTTCTTCCTAAGATACTGATTATAAGTTCCACCATTTTATACTGTCAGTTAAAGTATGAAACAGTGTTTTCATATCACAGTTATTGTTGGACTCATTAAGAAGCTAAATGTGAAAAAATACATTTTGGACTAGATGAAATATGGTATTAATCATAGTTTAGTTATCAGTAATGAAGCAGCTAATTTTTATATTGTATTAAGAGTAACATTAATAGTGAGTAAAGAATTCTCAATGATAAAACTTTTACCTATATTTGTTGTGTTATATTGGAGTTAATATATTACCTCAGTTTTTTCCTGAAATAAAATTCTTCTTTGGAGTCTATCTCACGTTTACTTTTCTTTATTGCATTTCTTTCCATTTACTTTCTTTTTTTTAAATTTTATTTTCTTATGTTATGTTAGTCGCCATACATTACATCATTAGTTTTTGATGTAGTGTTCCATGATTCATTGTTTGCGTATAACACCCAGTGCTCCATTCAGTAGTGCCCTCCTTAATACCCATCAACAGGCTAACCCATCCCCCTCCCCTCTAGAACCCTCAGTTTGTTTCTCAGAGTCCATAGTCTCTCATGGTTCGTCTCCCCCTCCGATTTCCCCCCCTTCATTTTTCCCTTCCTGCTATCTTCTTTTATATTTTTTTTACATAGAATGTATTATTTGTTTCAGAGGTACAGGTCTGTGATTCAACAGTCTCACACAATTTACAGCGCTCACCAATACCACATACCCTCCCCAATGTCTATCATTCAGCCACCCCATCCCTCCCACCCCCCACTACTCCAGCAACCCTCAGTTTGTTTCCTGAGATTAAGAATTCCTCATATCAGTGAGATCATAAGATACATGTCTTTCTCTGATTGACTTATTTCGCTCAGCATAACACCTTCCAGTTCCATCCGTATCATTGCAAATGGCAAGATTTCATTCCTTTTGATGGCTGCATAATATTCCATTGTATATATATACCACATCTTTTTTATCCATTCATCTGTTGATGGACATCTTGGCTCTTTCCATATTTTACCTATTGTGGACATTGCTGCTATAAACATTGGGGTACACGTACCCCTTCGGATCCCTACATTTGTATCTTTGGGGCAAATACCCAGTAGTGCAATTGCTGGGTCATATGGTAGCTCTATTTTCAACTTTTTGACGAACCTCCATGCTGTTTTCCAGGGTGCCTGCACCAGCTTGCATTCCCACCAACAGTGTAGGAGGGTTCGCCTTTCTCTGCATCCCTGCCAACATCTGTTGTTTCCTGACTTGTTAATTTTAGCCATTCTGACTGGTGTGAGGTGGTATCTCATTGAGGTTTTGATTTGGATTTCCCTGATGTTGAGTATTGTTGAGCACTTTTTCATGTGTCTGTTGGCCATTTGGATGTCATCTTTGGAAAAATATCTGTTCATGTCTTCCGCCCATTTCTTGACTGGATTATTTGTTCTTTGGGTGTTGAGTTTGCTAAGTTCTTTATAGATTTCGGATACTAGCCCTTTATCTGATATGTCATTTGCACATATCTTCTCCCATTCTGTTGGTTGTCTTTGGTTTTGTTGACTGTTTCCTTTGCTGTGCAAAAGCTTTTTATCTTGATGAAATCCCAATAGTTCATTTTTTCCCTTGCTTCCCTTGCCTTTGGCAATGTTTCTAGGAAGAAGTTGCTGCGGCTGAGGTCGAAGAGGTTGCTGCCTGTGTTCTCCTTTAGGATTTTGATGGACTCCTGTCTCACATTGAGGTCTTTCAACCATTTTGAGTCTATTTCTGTGTGTGTGGTGTAAGAAAATGGTTCAGTTTCATTCTTCTGCATGTGGCTGTCCAATTTTCCCAACACCATTTGTTGAAGAGACTTTTTTCCATTGGACATTCTTTCCTGCTTTGTCGAAGATTAGTTGACCATAGAGTTGAGGGTCCATTTCTGAGCTCTCTATTCTGTTCCATTGATCTATGTGTCGGTTTTTGTGCCAGTACCATACTGTCTTGATGATGACAGCTTTGTAATAGAGCTTGAAGTCCGGAATTGTGATGCCACCAGCTTTGCTTTTCTTTTTCAACATTTCTCTGGCTACTCGGGGTCTTTTCTGGTTCCATACAAATTTTAGGATTATTTGTCCCATTTCTTTGAAAAAAGTGGATGGTATTTTGATAGGGAATGCATTAAATGTGTAGATTGTTCTAGGTAGCATTGACATCTTCAAGATATTTGTTCTTCCAGTCCATGAGCATGGAACGTTTTTCCATTTCTTTGTGTCTTTCTCAATTTCTTTCATGAGTATTTTATAGTTTTCTGAGTACGGATTCTTTGGCTCTTTGGTTAGATTTATTCCTAGGTATCTTATGGTTTTGGGTGCAATTGTAAGTGGGATCGACTCCTTAATTTCTTTTTCTTCTGTCTTGTTGGTGTATAGAAATGCCACTGATTTCTGTGCATTGATTTTTATATCCTGCCACTTTACTGAATTCCTGTATGAGTTCTAGCAGTTTGGGGGTGGAGTCTTTCAGATTTTTCACGTAAAGTATCATATCATCTGCAAAGGGTGAGAGTTTGACTTCTTTGCCAATTTGGATGCCTTTGATTTCTTTTTGTTGTCTGATTGCTATGGCTAGGACTTCTAATACTATGTTGAATAGCAGTGGTGATAATGGACATCCCTGCCGTGTTCCTGACCTTAGGGGGAAAGCTCTCAGTTTTTCCCCATTGAGAATGATATTCACTGTGTGTTTTTCATAGATGGCTTTTATGTTATTGAGGTATGTACCTTCTATCCCTATACTCTGAAGAATTTTGATCAAGAAAGAATGCTGTACTTTGTCAAATGCTTTTTCTGCTTCTATTGAGAGGTTCATATGGTTCTTGTTCTTTGTTTTATTAATGTATTGCATCACATTGATTAATTTGCAGATGTTGAACCAACCTTGCAGCCCAGGGATAAATCCCACTTGGTCATGGTGAATAATCCTTTTAATGTACTGTTGGATCCTATTGGCTGGTATTTTGGTGAGAATTTTTGTATCCATGTTCATCAGGGATGTTGGTCTGTAATTCTTTTTGATGGGGTCTTTGTCTGGTTTTGGGATCAAGGTAATGGTGACCTCATAAAATGAGTTTGGAAGTTTGCCTTCCATTTCTATTTTTTGGAACAGTTTCAGAAGAATAGGTATTAATTCTTCTTTAAATATTTGGTAGAATTCCCCTGGGAAGCCATCTGGCCCTGGGCTCTTGTTTGTTGGGAGATTTTTGATGACTGCTTCAATTTCCTTAGTGGTTATAATCTGTTCAGGTTTTCTGTTTCTTCCTGCTTCAGTTTTGGTAGTTTGTACATCTCTAGGAATGCATCCATTTCTTCCAGATTATCTAATTTGCTAGCATAGAGTTGCTCATAATACGTTCTTGTAATTGTTTGTATTTATTTGTGTTGGTTGTGATCTCTTCTCTTTCATTCATGATTTTATTTTTTGGGTCATTTCTCTTTTCTTTTTGATAAGTCTGGCTAGGGGTTTATCATCTTATTAATTCTTTCAAAGAACCAGCTCCTAGTTTCATGGATCTGTTCCACTGTTCTTTTGGTTTCTATTTCATTGATTTCTGCTCTGATCTTTATTACTTCTCTTCTCCTGCTGGGTTTAGGCTTTATTTGCTGTTCTTTCTCCAGCTCCTTAGGTGTAGGGTTAGGTTGTGTAATTCAGACCTTTCTTGTTTCTTGAGAAAGGCTTGTATTGCTATATACTTTCCTCTTAGGACTGCCTTTGCTGCATCCCAAAGATTTTGAACAGTTGTGTTTTCATTTTCATTGGTTTCCATGAATTTTTTTTAATTCTTTTTTAAAAATTTCTTGGTTGACCCGTTCATTCTTTAGTAGGATGTTCTTTAGCCTCCATGTATTTGAGTTGTTTCCGACTTTCCTCTTATGATTGAGTTCTAGTTTCAAAGCATTGTGGTCTGAAAATATGTAGGGAATGATCCCAATCTATAGTTACCAGTTGAGGCCTGATTTGTGACCTAGGATGTGATCAATTCTGGAGAATGTTCCATGGTCACTAGTGAAGTGTGTATTCCGTTGCTTTGGGATGGAATGTTCTGAATATGTCTGTGAAGTCCATTTGGGCCAGTGTGTCATTTAAAGTCTTTATTTTCTTGTTTGATCTTTTGCTTAGATGATCTGTCCATATCAGTGAGGGGGTGTTAAAGTCCCCCACTAGTATTGTTGTTGATGTTTTTTTCTTTTGTTATTAATTGGCTTATATATTTGGCTGTTCCCATGTTAGGGGCATAGATATTTACAATTGTTAGATCTTCTCGTTGGATAGACCCTTTAAGTAGGATATAGTGTCTTTCCTCATCTCTTATCATAGTCTTTGCTTTAAAATCTAATTTGTCTGATACAAGGATTGCCACCCCAGCTTTCTTTTGATGTCCATTAGCGTGGTAAATGGTTTTCCACCCCCTCACTTTCAATCTGGGAGTTTCTTTGGGTCTCAAATGAGTCTCTTGCAGACAGCATATCGATGGGTCTTGTTTTTTATCCAATCTGATACCCTGTGTCTTTTGATTGGGGCATTTAGCCCATTTACATTCAGAGTAACTATTGAAAGATAGGAATTTCCTGCCATTGTATTGCCTGTAAGGTGACTGTTACTGTATATTGTCTGTGTTCCTTTCTGATCTATGCTGCTTTTAGGCTCTCTCTTTGCTTAGAGGACCCCTTTCAATATTTCTTGGAGGGCTGGTTTCGTGTTTGCAGATTCCTTTAGTTTTTGTTTGTCCTAGAAGCTTTTTATCTCTCCTTCTATTTTCAATGACAGTCTAGCTGGATATAGTATTCTTGGCTGCATATTTTTCTCATTTAGTGCTCTGAATAGATCATGCCAGTCCTTTCTGGCCTGCCAGGTCTCTGTGGATAGGTCTGTTGCCAATCTGATGTTTCTACCATTGTAGGTTACAAATCTCTTGTCCCGAGCCACAGTCTTTTTGGATATCGTTTTAATACATGCTATTTTCCATAGGACGGCACTAAACAAAGTCATAATATTTATCCAATTAAAAGAGCTATAATTTACCTACTAAAATCCCCATTTGACATTGGGGAAAAGTGTGAAATATTATTTCTTCTTTAGCTTAAGAAAGACCTTTGGCATTTCCAGGTCAGAAATACCTGTCTATAGATGCATACACACTCTGTTCTATAATCTATTTAACCATATGAGTACATGTTTTATTTCTATGTGTATGAAGGAAAACCTTGTCTTCTTTCATTTAGAGTGATCACCCTGTTGCTCTTTTACTGAACTACATCTCATAATTCTACTAAGAATGTTATGGAGTGAATAATAAAATGCCAGCTTTTATATGTGGTACAATAGTTTTCTATAAATTATTTTGCATTTTTAATTTGTATGAGTAAAATATAAAGGGAACTTAAGCTTTTCAAAGCTTATTGTTTCAAATTATCAGAATAATTCAGAGACTTTTACCTAAACTTTATCAATAATCTTTAATCTGTAAATTTTGAGGAAGCTTTTTGTATAAATTGTCTTTTGATCTGTATAAAAGCTAATTCACTCCACATTTATTGAGCACATACTGTGTGCTATGTACTGTGCAAAATATTGACATAAAGTAAAATAGAATGCCACCAACTAATCTAATTCTAGTCTAGTCTATGTCAGGATAAAACCCTGTGCTTGCCCCATAAATCACAGTTGTTTATATATTTATCTATGTATATTTATTTGCAAATTTAGATTGTGAGTTCTTTGAAAGGAAGAATATTCTGTTTGATCTTTTAACCTGATCATCTAACTTTGCATGATGCCTTCTGCATCATATGTTCTAATCTAAATAAATGTGAGCCAGTGAAGCAGTTAGTAAACAACCTGTGCTGTCATGAGCAGCTCAACTAGGTTGCTTTTATTTGGAATGTCTTATAATCTTTATAGACAAAGATTTTTGCTTAGATTTTGGTAGAGGAGTTTGACAACAGTCCTCAATTTTCAAAACAAAAAGTTGGTGAAAGGATCAAGTTACTTGGAGAGAAGCTTTAGATTTTCAAGAGTCTTGTATACCTGAAAACCATCAACTAAAAACCAGAGACCTAGTCTCTAAATTACTAGCTATATGAACATTTGGCAAATCAAACCGTGACAAGCCTCAATTTCTGCATCAATAAAATTGTCATATTTAATCTATCTCACCAACCTCGTAGATTTATTTATTTATTTTTTAAAGATTTTATTTATTTATTTGACAGAGACACAGCGAGAGAGGGAACACAAGCAGGAGGAGTGGGAGAGGGAGAAGCAGGCTCCCTGTGGAGCAGGGAGCCCGATGCAGGGCTCAATCCCAGGCCCCTGGGACCATGACTTGAGCCGAAGGCAGATGCTTAAGGACTGAGCCACCCAGTCGCCCCCAAACCTCGTAGATTTAAAGAGTAAATTAAATGAACATTATTATTGCTACCTTTTTAAAGTCAATTTGCTACTGATTGCATGTTAGAAGCTTTTTTTATTTGACTTATCAGTTGATTCAAGAAAAGCTAGTATGGTGCCAATTGATATTACTTGGGTTATGCAGAGTCTGCATTCCTTACTTAACATTTTTGTTGCAGGATCTTTCATTTCAAAGAGTGAAATAAATGCATGGATATCCTAAAAAAAAAAAATAAACCATAACAAATGCATTTTTTGTAGAAAGAAAAATGTGCCAAACAAAGACAATGAATTTTTTTTCAGTGCAATTTCCTATTCACTAAGATAAATTTTCTAAAGGTGAATTTTAATAATTTCCAATTTATTAAACATGTAGTTGATACATTTGGTAATATATTTTTAGTAAGAGAATTTTTTTTTTATTTTCAGACTATTCAAAAGTTCATCTAACACAGCTATTGGAGAAGGCTGAAGTGATTGCAGGACGGATGCTTAAATTTTCTGTTTTTTATCGTAACCAACACAAAGAATATTTTGACTATATTCGGTAAGGTTAAAAAAATATATAGTGATTTGCTTTACTAAATGCCATTCTAAGCTCTAGGCTCAGGTTTCCCTTGAGTCTAGTTCTGTGAAATAGCAATTTTTGTTTTCTTTTCAAAATAGTTAATTATACTCTTATTTCCCAGAATAATTGAGTAGAAAAAAATCAGATTATGGGATTTTTTTTTCATGTTACTTACATCCCTTTCTGTAATCATTTGTAATGACAGTTCCTGTCTATTTGAGTGGAAGATCGTAAAACCTCCAGGGTTTAGACTGATGACCATTCTTGACAAATTCCTCTACCACCCAATAACTAAACTGAATACTCTCTTCTTGTGGATTGATTGCTTTAAGATATTGAAAATGGGAGGGGGGGACGTAACTTTCATGAAATATGGTGAATCAGGTGGGATTTTTTCAGGCTTCAGTCTAAGTGATGAGATCTCTTAGCCATTATCTTGGATTAATTATTCAGTCTGTCGTATTTACTTTTGAATTCTAATGTTCAATTAGTATTTCTAAGATAGCCTGTGTTTTACACTGGGAAACAGTTTCCAAGAATTCAAAAGCAATCCATGATACAGGTAGTTTTAATACTTAATAATGTTTTATATTTACAGACAAAAATTTCAGGACAGTAAATAGAGATATATGTTTTTAAAAGGCTAAGACTAAGGTTTTTAAAATGATAAATGCTATTTAGTTCTAAAACTTTTACACAGTAATCTCTATAATTTGTCATTTGGTCTCACTTTAAACTTTAAGTTGTAAAGGATTATAATGAAAAAAAATTAGGAAGCTTTGTTGTTATTTGTTTCTTACTTCTCTAGTTTTCTTAAGTCATGATCATGGTTTTAGATTTAAATCATCTCCAAGCTGTGGAAAATGTAAAGGGAATCAGAGAGAGAGAGGTGAATTTAGGCATCTGATTTCATCAAATGAAATACTTTGCAATATCATGGGTTTTTTAATATATATATTTTGATGCTGCAAACCATAAGGTTGAATATCTTATAAACACAGAGTTTAGTCCATAATTCTTTTATCTGATAATTACTTACCCTTGAATCTATACATATTTCATGGTGGATGCCATTAACCTAATTTAGACAGTACAAACAGATATAACACAAATTAATTTATCTGTCAATTGTGAATGGGAATGACCATATATATTTAACAAGAAAGGTTTTCTTTAAGCATAAAATTTGAAAACAAAAAGATCTATTGCTATTTTCTTTAATAAGAAATACATCAATATAATAAATACATCTTTGGTACAAGGTTTAGAGTCTTAGAATATTGCCAATGTCTATTTTAGGTGGCCACTGGAGGTCAGTATTTCTCTGATTTTCTCTGCCCTTTGGGTGGAAACTAGCCTATTTTCAGGTCTTTAGATATTAAAATTTGCATCATCGGTTTTCAAAAACTCTTCGAAGAAGAAAAGAAATGATAAAGACTGCCTGGAAAAAGTCATTGTATATATTGTATAATTGATTCCAGTCTACTAGAATGAAAGATGTATTTACTAACAAGGAAATTTACCTTTGTTGGAGTTTCCATGACAGTTGTAAAATCCATGTAAATTATATCTTAATACAGTATATATAAGTAAATATACTTCTCAAGGCGTGGGTACAGTTCTTCAAAATTGCTTTTTCAAAACGCTTTATTATAAAATTAGTAGACATTAGCTTCAATGGACCTTGATTTTTCTTTTTAGGTAATGAATTCTAATCAGGACCCACTTCCTTTATCAGAATCCATTTAAAATGTCAATTTGTTAATCAAAATGCTTGAATAGAAATGAACCTTTCACTTACCTGACTACAGACTTTCCAAATCATTACAAATTATGAAAAAGCATTAGGTAAATTCTGACTCAATCCATATGAATTGAGCTCATTTTGATCTCTTTCTCTAGAGATAAATTTCTAAGTGAATATTGCTTTCCCTTACCCCAGATCAAAATACCACTTTCTCTCTTACTCCTTCAAGTTCACTAAGTAGCCTCACTATCCTTAAAACACCTTTCTAGATCAGAAAGTTTTTTCTTTTCCAATCCACTGACAGGTGTAGGAATTCCTGGTGCTTTTAAGTGTTAAATTGTATATCCTCAAAGTTGATGTTTGTCACTAATGCTAATACATTTCTCCTAGTTTCAGTTCCTGTCTCATTTTCTGCTGTTATTTCATTAATTGAACTTGTAGATTCATGTTTGACACATATCATATCGATATTTGTTTTTTGTTAATGAGAATGTAGCTGTAACAAGCATAAGAATTTTGACCCAGGACAAGATGGAGTGGAAACACTTCTCCCTATTTTTTCCCACTAAATATGACTAAAAACTCTGGACTTTATATATAAAAGAAACATAGGAATCTGAAAGGCAGAAGAAGACTGAAAGGTAGAGAGGTCAGTTAGGGACCATGGGACTCAAGGGACAATACAGTAATGAGTTCCCTGAGTTTTCTTTTTAGCTCTTATATTCTGGACTGAGTTCTGAAGAAGCCAAAAACCCCAAAATGCTGATGGGCATTTTTTACAGTATCTACTGCAAAAGAATGACTAAAAGAAGTTTTTTTGTTTATTTTTTTATTCATCATGATAAGTGTACTCTTCAATCCCCACCCCCTATTTCTCCTATCACCCCACCAACCTCTCTTCTGGTAGCCATCAGTTTGTTCTTTATTGTTAAGAATCTGTTTCTTAGTTTGTCTCTCGTTTTTTTTTCTTTGCTCATTTGTTTTGTTTCTTAAATTCCACATATGTGTGAAATCATATGCTATTTGTCTTTCGCTGACTTACTTCACTTAGCATTATACTCTCTAGCTTTACCCATGTTGTTGCAAATAGTAAGATTTCATGCTTTTCTTTGGCTGAATAATATGCTACATCTTCTTTATCCATTCATCAGTCAATGGACACTTGAGCTGCTTCCATAATTCAGTGATTATAAATAATGCTGCAGTAAACAGAGGTGCTTGTATCCCTTTGAATCAGGGTTTTGTATTGTTTGGGTAAATATCCAATAGTGCAATTCCTGGATAATAGGGTAGATCTATTTTATTTTTTGAGGAATCTCTCTATTGTTTTCTACAGTGGCTATACCAGTTTGCAATCCCACCAAAAGTGTAAGAGCGTTCCTTTTTCTCCACATCCTTGCCAACACTTCTTTCTCGTGTTGTTGGTTTTAGTCATTCTGACAGATTTGAGGTGATATCTCATTGTAGTTTTGATTTGCATTTACCTGTTGATTAGTGATGTTGAGCATCTTTTCGTGTGTTTGTTGGCCATCTGGATGCCTTCTTTGGAGAAATGTCTGTTCATTTCTTCTGCCCATTTTTAATTGGATTATTTGGTTTTATTGGTGTTGAGTTGTAGAAGTTGTTTATATATTTTGGATACTAATCCTTCGTCAGATAACGTCATTTGCAAATATTTTCTCCCATTTCATAGGTTGCCTGGTCATTTTGTTGATTGTTTCCTTCACTGTGCAGAAGCTTTTTATTTTGATGTAATCCCAATAGTTTATTTTTGCTTTTATTTCCCTTGCCTCAGGAGACATTTCTAGAAAAATGCTTCTATGACTAATATCAGAGAAATTACTGCCTGTGCTCTCTTCTAGGATTTTTATGGTTTCAGGTCTCACATTGAGGTCTTTAATCCATTTGAGTTTACTTTTGTGTATGGTGTAAGAAAGTGGTCCAGTTTCATTCTTTTGCATTTAGTTTCTCATGGATATTCTTTCTTCCTTTGTCAAAAATAAGATTAACCCATATAACTGTGGGTTTATTTCTGGGTTTTCTATTCTGTTCCATTGATCTCCATGTCTGTTTTTGTGCCAGTACCATACTGTTTTAATTACTACCACTTTGTAATATAACTTGAAATCTGGAATTGTGATACCTCCAGCTTTGTTTTTCTTTTCCAAGATTGCTTCAGCTATTCACGGTCTTTTGTGGTTCCATACAAATTTGGGGATTGTTTGTTATAATTCTGTGACAAATGCTAATGCTATTTTGATAGGGATTGTATTAAAGGTGTAGATCACTTCAGGTAGTATAGACATTTTAACAATAGTTGTTCTTCCAACTCATAAGCATAGAATATCTTTGCATTTCTTTGTGTCATCTTGAATTTTTTTTGTCATTGTTTTATAGTTTTTGGAGTACAGTTCTTTCACCTCTTTGGCTGAGTTTATACCTAGATATTTTATTGGTTTTGGTGCATTTGTAAATGCTATTGTTTTCTTAATTTCTCTTTCTGCTACTTCATTAGTGTATAGGAATGTAATGGATTTCTGTACCTTGATTTTGTATCCTGTGACTTTACTGAATTCATTTATCAGTTCTAGTAGTTTTTTAGTGGAGTCTTTAGGGTTTCTATATATAGTATCATGTCATCTGCATACAGTGAGAGATTTACTTCTTCCTTACCAATTTGGATACATTTATGTCGTTTGATTGCTGTGGCTAGGACATCTAGTACTACGTTGAATAAAAGTGGTGAGAGTGGACATCTTTGTCTTGTTCCTGACCTTAAGGGAAAAACTCCGAGATTTTCCCTATTGAGTATGACGTTGTCTGTGAGTTTTTCATTTAAGGTCTTTGTTATGTTGAGGTATGTTTCCTTTAAATCTACTTTGTTGACGGTTTTACCATGAATGGATGTTGTACTTTGTCAAATGTTTTTTCTGCATCTATTGAAATGATGATATGGTTTTTATCCTTTCTTCTGTTGATGTGATATACCATGTTGATTGTTTTGTGAATATTGAACCACTCTTGCATCTTGGGAATAAATCCCATTTGATTGTGGTGTATGATTTTTTTTTAATGTATTATTGGTTTGCTAATATTTTGTTGAGGATTTTTGCATCTACATTCATGAGTGATGTTGGCCTGTAGTTCTCTTTTTTCATGGCGTCTTTATCTGGTTTTGATATCAGGGTGATACTGGCCTCATAGAATGAATTTGTAAGTTTTCCTTCCTCTTGTATTTGTTGGAATAGTTTGAAAAGAATGGGTATTAACTCTTCTCCAAATGTTTAGTAGAACTTACCTGTGAAGCTGTCTGGTCCTGGACTTTTGTTTTTTGAGAGTTTTTTTGATTACCAGTTCAACTTCATTGCTGATAACTGATCTGTTCAAATTTTCTATTTCTTCCTGCTTTAGTTTTGGTAGATTATAGGTTTCCAGGAATTTATTCATTTCTTCCAAGTTATCCAGTTTGTTGGCATTTAGGATCTGTTACAGTTGTTTGTATTTCTGTAGTGTTTGTTATTTCTCCTCCTTCATTAGTAATTTTGTGCATTTGGGTCCTCTCTCTCCTGTTTTTTAAAAAGAGTTTTATCAATTTTGTTGATCTTTGGTTTTATTGTTATTTTAGTTTCTATATCATTTATTTCTACTCTGATCTTTATTATTTTCTTCCTTTGCTGGGTTTGGATTTTGTTTGTTCTTCTTTTTCTAGCTCCTTTAGGTGTAAAGTAAGATTGTTTGAGATTTTTTCTTGCTTCTTGAGGTAGGCCTGTATAAACTTCCACCTTAGAACCTCTTTTGCTGCATCCCAAAGATTTTGGACCATTGTGTTTTCTAAAAGAAGTTTTTGAAAAAAGGAAGAGAATGATATTAGAAGGAATTTTGGAACACCAGGAGGAAAGGAAGAATAATAAGAATAAAAATAATAAGAAGAAGACTATTCTGGTCCAATCCAGAATATTCATACATCTCTTATTTATCTAGTGTCCTCTAATATGTGAGTTGCTTGGTCTTTCCTTGAACCTGCATTTTTAATAAGCTTCCTTGGTAGTTCTTAGGCACTAGAATTTGAGACTCATTGTTGTTCTAAAGTTAGGGGAGACCCTGGGCATACCTCACCGACCCACAGGCTCTTTTGGAAGCATGCTGACTGGGAGAAGCTTCTCATGCCTGTGTGGTAAATTGTAATTTTCATCCCAAGCCATGGTGGTCAAGGACCCAGCAAGAAAGGGAAGTCACACTTAGTGGGAGTTCTGGAGAAAATGTGACAAAAGCACCATTCATAAAGTTATAGACAGGGTTAAGGCAACTAATAAGGGATGCTAAAGCAACCAGGAACTATCAAGAGTTGAAAGGTTTTACTACTCTTGGGAAGGGTAATAGAGGACACCCATTAGGAGAAGTAGTCAGAGACATATAGTACATACGAATCCAGCCACACCAGAACCACAAGGCTCTGAAGCATGGAGGAAGTAGAAGACAGCACACTCAAGGCTTTACTTCCTCCTCCCCTAGATCTGATGGTGCCTTCCATAAGTAAAACTGAAATGGAAGGGACCAAGGGACAAAGATGAACCAAATGATAGAGTCCCATCCCACAATGGAAGGCAAGAAGGATGGAGAATAGATCAGGGGTGATGGTGAAGGGAGAATAACCAGCTCTGATGTAAGAAAAACGCAGGAAAGGGGACCTGATTAGTAAACTGTACCTAGGGGGAAAAAAAAAACACACAAAATAAAACAAGACTCTTTTGTGCCAATATATATATGTGGACAGCACTCATATTAGGACTAAATTCTGGCATACTTTAAAGAAACATTCAATATATTTAACCAATAGTGTTAGTCCAGTTTTCTCTTCAAAGAGCCACTTCTGAAACCCAGTAGGCATATAATGGTTGTGATTTCAGTTGTAAGATTTCTAATTCCAGTTTGGTTTTTCTGGCCAGGAAATTTATTATGTAAAGACCTCCAAGGTTTGTAGCAGAACATCATTGCATTAAAAGACATTAAAGTAAAGTAGGATGAGCATTCAGAGTTTGGGCCTATCACCAGTCAAATCTATATATAAATCAATAGCTTTACTACTATTATACCAAGAAGTGACCATGTCTTTTCTCTTGCAGAGAACATCATGGGAATGCTATGCAACCATCTGTCAAGGATAACAGTGGTAGCCATGGCTCTCCTATCAGTGGTAAATTAGAAGGCATCTTCTTCAGCTGCAGCACTGAATTTAATACTGGGAAGCCACCCCAGGATTCACCTTATGGAAGATACAGGTTTGAGATTGCAGCAGAAAAACTTTTTAACCCCAATACTAACTTATATTTTGGGGACTTCTACTGTATGTACACTGCTTATCATTATGTGATTCTTGTTATTGCCCCTGTGGGATCACCAGGAGATGAATTTTGTAAGCAGCGCCTTCCTCAGCTAAATTCCAAGGATAATAAATTTTTGACCTGCACAGAAGAAGATGGGGTGCTGGTTTACCACCATGCCCAGGATGTCATTTTAGAAGTCATTTATACTGACCCTGTGGATCTTTCTCTGGGCACTGTAGCAGAAATCACTGGTCATCAGCTTATGAGTTTGTCTACTGCAAATGCAAAGAAAGATCCCAGCTGCAAAACCTGTAATATCAGTGTTGGACGTTAATGCCCATTTTTCTTATTCTTACCCAGTCCCTTTTCTTCCCCTAAGAGCACCGATCCTCTGTTGTCCATTTTCATCACCAGATGTTTTCCACTGAAGCATGCACATGCCGCTATCACCAAAAGCAAATTGCCATTTTTCCAAATTTCATCCAGAGCCGTTTTAGTGTTTCCTATTCCCTGCCCTTCCCATTACTTTCAGTGATGAAAGTTCTCCTCTGACACTTTATTGCCTAGATGCTGCAATGTTTTTATTTTTCCTTTATGCCAAACATAACAAAACAATTATATAAACTGCTTTAGCAAAATACAAAATAACGGCTTATAAATGGTGTTTAAATATGCATTCATTTTAATCTACTGAACAAATATTGGGATAACTCCAAACCGCATGAAAGGGTGTAATTGCAGCATGAGTTAAATCTTGAAGCCTAGAATTGTCAGCACTTCCAACTTGTTGTTTGACAGTGTTATTTATGTTATTTATATTAGCTAACAGGAAACAACTATTGTGTTTCAACATAATAAATATAATAGAAAAATATTTTATTTGTATTGTTGTATAAAATATTTACAATCATATAGAATATATAGAGTTACATTTTAATAGCAATTGTATACATGTCATGAAACCATTTCCCTTATCAAAGATGTAGTTTGTAAACTTCAAATAGTTGTGTATCTGTCCTGTTACAAGTAGATGACTTCAATTAAACAAATTTATGAAGGACATCATTCTGATTCATAAAAGTTATAAAATATCAGGTAAATACAGAGAAAACAATAAGCCTCTGAAATATTCTGCTTCTGAAAGTCAATATTCTTCCCATCCAAACTATATGAAAATGTGAATTTGTTCAACATCATGCTTAAACATTACAGAAAACAGAAATACAAACATGGTTGGTACAAGAGAAAATGGCGACTTTTTACTTATTGTTACAAAGGCAAAAATAATAAATGTGTGTTTTAGTACAAAATAACACAAAATTATATGCACTAAAGTTGATGAAGCAAATAAAATTCTGGCTTCTTTTCCAAGGTGTCCCAACAATTTCCAAACCTTTCATTTTGTACAGAATGAAGAGTACCTACAACTCATGAGAATGCTTGTGACTTTACAAAGTATACACAGACCTTGGAACATTAAGAAATATGCATATTCCCAATCGAAAAATAGTTATATACTCTTATAGTAAACAAAAAGATTAGCAATCATAACTATGATCACATTAGATTATATACTGCAGACCACAGATCTATCCAAAATACCTATTTTCAAATTTTAATACAATATTTTATTTTAATATAAACATCTGTCAATTTTAGACAAAGATAATTCACAAAGTACATGCTATAAGAATGAACTTTGGTAACCAGAAATGTAAAATTTCAAATAACAGATAAAATAATGTGCTATTTTTATATAGAAATAAAAAATTAGCAGTGACACATTCTAGTATGCTTTACTGAATAGCCTAGCGGACTTAAGGGACAAGGTAGATTTTTTTATCACTTAAAAATCTATTAGAACTTTCAAATAAATTACATTCTTACTAGCTGTATTCCTTCCTACATAAAAAGAAGAGTTTCTTTTCCTCCTCTTATTTTTTTTAAAAATCATGTTCTTTTTCCATACACTAACATATGCAGTTTCCAGACACTAAATAGGCTTTCCTTAATAAGTGGCCCACTGAACAAGTATTATTTAGATTTGATAAAATATTAAGATTTTTTTGAAATAATTATACTGACTGTGCATTTTCTGCTTGGCATGGAAGAGACAATTTTTTTTCCAATTATACTGTTAGCTGTTATATTTTCCCCCATTTAAATCCTCCTTCCTCATTGATGGTTACTCTTGCCATCCCTTCTTAAAAACAGCTAATACTACCACTAAAGTGCTTCAGTTTTCAATATGTCAAAACTACCTAGCAAGAATGGCAAAGGAAAATAAACTTGTCCTTATCTTGGTTGAAAGTGAGCACAAACATTTCCTGAACCTCAGATTGTTTTGGCCACATCTTGCTTGCTGATGAGGACCTCTAATAGTCTCAGTTTGGCTTTTATGTGCTTATATTCATAGTACTCATCTGCCATTGGTATCCTGTCTTCCTTTTGTGGACTTCTGCAAAACAGAAAATACTGTCTTTTAGCTCATAATAAATCAAGTCATTAAAAATCCTTTTATAATGTTTACATGAGAAAGTACAGAGTAGAAGTTTCCACTTGGTTTTTGCATCATGTCTTTTTTACCTTCCCTTCCACCTTCACTCACTCCCTCCTCCATGTGTCATTAGGTTTTTGTATAATAGTACACTTCGAGAACTTGAATGTCTTAGGTGTTTTGCAAATATATGGTCCACTGCATAGACAGACAACAATGGAGCAAGTAAAAAGGAAAAAAAAACAAAAACCAGAACTCTCAGTGCATTCTTAGTCTAGTCATTCTCCCATTACTCATACCACAGTTCATGCCTATGAAGAATGTTCAGCCCTTACAATGGGAGTTGTTAAAAATTCAACCTAAAAACCACATAAATTAAGTGAAATAATTTATATAAATTTATGGTGATAGGGGAAAAAAAGCTCAATGGTTACCTTTAAACATGAAATATTTCCAAGTTTTCTTTTAATTATAATACGTAACCTATCTCTGCTAATGTGTAGTAGAATCAGTGAGATGTTCATGGATTGAATATATATGAGTCTGAATTGCAATGTTTCTCTTTGCACACTAATTCTAAGGCTAGACATCTGACAATGCATATTTTATACATACTCATTCTAACTACTATATGTTCTTGCTGTTTACTTTGAAGAATGTTTGGGTAACATCTGGAGTTAAAACCATTCCCTTTCCACAAAAATATGTGGCCAGGATATGTTATCTAAAGGGAAGTAATTGCTTCAGGATCTTAGAAGGCTCTTGTCTCCTTGGTTGATAAGATTACCTATTGCTTTTAGAATATTTTCATTCATGACTTTGAAATACTAAGAGTGGAAAACAGATGAAACACCACAGTTGCTACTGAATATAAACACAAATACTCTCTAATATTAGTGTGGCTGAATGTAGGTAAATAGCAAGCATTTAATGTTTTACCTATACTCCCTTCTATTTTCCCAGTACTGATAAAAGATCTATCTCTCACAAATTTAAAAAAAAACATGAATCTATAAAGATTTCCTAAGAATGGAGTTATCTACTTGTGATGCACCACTATACATTTGCCTGGAATTTCTAGTACAGAACTCAGAACAGTACACAAATCTGTAGATAGGGTTTCTCTTAAATATTGTCTAAGTTATTTAATAGAATTCCTTTGCCTCCATTCTGTATTATGGACCAAACTTAACTGGGCCTCTAAATATCACCTTAATTTATATAAACATATCTAAGTGAAGAAATGGTCTAATTTATCAGGAAACACTAGTAACCCTAGCCCATCATGCAACTTTTCCCTGGTCCTGCAGACTCTGTTTTGGCTAATAAACAAGAGTGTATTGGCCAGGGGCACCTGGGTGGCTCAGTTGGTTAAGCAACTGCCTTTGGCTCAGGTCATGATCCTGGAGTCTTGGGATCGAGTCCTGCATCGGGCTCCCAGCTCAGTGGGCAGCCTGCTTCTCCCTCTGGCCCTCTCCCCTCTCATGCTGTTTCTCTCTCTCTCACTCTCTAATAAATAAATAAATAAAATCTCTTAAAAAAAAAGTGTATTGGCCAGAATGAAAAATTTTGCTAAGTATTTCCTGAAGCAGTTTTCCCATTATGTAAAACATGCTAATGTGCTTGGTACAGTTCCTGGCTTATAACTGTTAATGTCATATCTACATGATTATTCCTCTTGCTTGGCAAATATTACCAAGAACATTTACAGTAACTTAAAATTTTTAGTAATCCATTTGCATGGTTATTTTACGTTATGGGCAGGATTAGGCCTTCCTAATAAAATTTCTTAGGATAACAAGATTAAGATCCATATTTCCTAACCATTCAACCCTTTGATTTTAGTTGTGATATACCACCACTTTGGCATTTAGTTTAAGTATATTACCACAAGAGGGCATACAACCTCAGTCATATACAGGCATATCTGAAGTAGGGTTAAGGCAAAGGTACAGTAGAATACTATACATAGGACATCACTAACTTCCCTGTACATCAAAAGGTATGCCAAATACCACTGGAGCTCCATTAGGCAGAACTACTAGCATACTGGGGTGGTCTCAAACTCTTTGGATTCCTGAGTACATACAGATTAAAAAAAATGTAAATGTAAAAGCTGTATGGAAATTCTGTAAAGGGAAAAAATGGAAATGGAAAAAGAAAACAAGAAATTATGTTTTATATTCTAAATTTAACATCCACAAAACATTTTTCACTAGATTAGTTATCAGCAGAAGGTAAATAACTTGGACTTGTAGCAGTCAACTGGAAAAGGAAGATTCCAGGTAGAAAACAAAGTGGGTTGTATCTGTATTTGCTGAACACAAAACGTTTCTGACTTAATAGGTCAAATCCTATTGTACAGCTCTGGAGGACTGCAATGGAAAAGCTGCTAAGAGGTGAGTAGACCAAGCTTTCAAGGTGCTTTAGAAAATAGTCCCTGTCCATCAGGTAGACCCTTAGTCTGCTGAAATGAAAGCAATTCAGGAAGGGCAGATACGTAGATGGAGAGGAATACCGAGGGGCCAGTGTATCAGTGACTCCCACCTCTGCCACCTTAATAACTTTGTGACTTTGGGAAAGTCACAAGACAGACAGAACAACTATAGCTTCCCAAAGTATTCCAGGAAGTCCAATCATTTCATCTTTACATCTTACAACCATGGAAACAGGCTCCAGATAGCTAAATGATTTGTCTCTTTCTCCTCTGGAGGTAGATCAATAATCTTGAATCTTATGATTTTATTATATATATAATAACATCAAATAGATTATATATATATATATACATATACATATATAATTACATACATGTAAAAATACATATATAAATTATACATATAAAAATTATATATACATTGACAATACACCAAAATTTAGAGGAAACTAATTGGAATGCCTAATGAGACTTAGGTTGACAAAAATAGACAAAGAGAGGACATAGCTTAACATTTATGTTAGGAATAGAAAGAATAGCTATGAACATCTGACTTGAAAATAAATAAGGGCAGATCCTTAAGTTTAAAAGATACATTTAAAACAAAAGAAGAATTATTTAATAAAATAGGAAATAACTTGTGAAAGTAAGTAACCCAGAACAAAGAAGTTATATGGGTTGAAAAATCAAATAGATTTTTTAAAGGTTTAGATAAATTCAATAGTTATCAAGAGATTTATTATGCAAAGTTAGGGATTTTTGGATTTCATCCTTTATTTCTTAAAGCCTGATGTCATACTTGATAGCTACAGCCTCTCATAAAACATACCTAATAATGGCACTATTAGAATGTTGCATTAGACAGATTTTGAGTCTAAGTCACTGTGGAAATTATTTACATCTTATATAAAGTCCCTGTTCCTGCCAAAACTGCAGCTCATTCTTAACAAGAGTTCCCTAGGAAATACTAACTTAAAAAAATCTCTGCCCACACTTACCTTCCCGTTTGTTTAAAAAACTGTTCTTCAAAGTCTCTTAAGGCTTTTCGAAGTCTCTTCTTGTCAGCCCTAGTTTCTCGGAGATGGTCAAGAAGTACAGGCCTATATCAAGCAAAATATATATTTGCCATTACTGAGCTCTGGCATAATTGAGACATCATAAGATTTATCTATTCAGCAAATCATATTATGATACAGAAGGATTCTTCCTAAAAGAGTATCTTTTGAATAAATATAGTGCAATGTAGAGCCTGATCACAGGGAAGCACATAAGCAGAGAATGAAAACAATGTCATAAGAGAACAGAAAGGACAGACAGAAGGCAAGCCAATGGAGTCCATTATAAAATGTGGTGAGGGTAATGACCATATGAATGGA